AAATTTGGAAACTACCCTCCAAGAGAGCTGTGCATAAGCAGTAACATTATCAGATTATTGTTAGTGTATTGGTTTTTAATTTATTACAATCTTTCCTAGTCTGAATGCTCTGATGGAGAAATGTTCAACTACATGAAAACRATTTGGAAATTTAGTCCTGGTCTCCATGGAAACCAAAACACATGTACCTTGGACTTTGATGTAAGAATCGTTTGAGAAAATGTCATCATAATGACCTGTTAATAGTACTAGTTAATTCTCTACCAACCAACTCACCAGGTGTACATATATATCCATTATTATCCAAATGCCCCTTACTTTATTAACTCTTTAGTATAGAGTACAAACACTATAACTGTGTAACCTAAATACCACTAAATAGTACTGCTAAATTATGCTAATCCTATTGTTTTCTATTGTTTAATTAGCACCATTTACTACTAAATAGTGCAAAGTGTTGCACACTTTTAGTGTTTGTACTCTATTAAAATAAGATAAATATAAAATAAGATAAATAGGATTTATCAGTGATTTTCATTTCTTCAGAGTGGCTCYTCATCTACTGAATTCCAACTGAAATTTCAAGGTCAATTTTTCAGCCCAGGRGGGGGGGGGGGGGACTCCTATAAATAGWAGGGTGGGATGCTCATAGGAAATTTTGATTTAATGACCCCTTAGAACTGTCTGAGTCCCGTCCAGTTGGGCATGGCAACTAATGATTTTTATTGCTAAAAGGTACCAATAATCTATGATCTAAGTGAWAGAAGTCAGATAATAAATATCCTGAATTTCRACTGTCCCCCAAATTGCATATCTGGAACCCTAAGAGGTAACACGAGCATCCCTGCCCTGGTTTTGCAGACGAAGGAAAACTGAAGATCCTGGACAAAAACRCAAAATACTGACAGACACTGATCTTTTTCCTTTATTTAGGTTGAGTTTGAGTTCAAGTCAGCTTTACATTCACAACTCTCTACRTTATTTTTTGATGAAGTCGTAAAGAAAATGGTTAGAGCATTTGAAAAACGATGTCAATATTTATATGGGCCAGATCACTTGCGACAGGCTTTAAAATCTAGGGCTGCTCAACCAAGTAAGTTAATCATTATATTTTACAACCACCAAGCTCCCCATACAGGCCTCTTCCGTGAGGTTCCCTTCACATGCACTATTGAAGAAATAGAAAACGTGCGTACACATGTGCTGTGTGCTGTCATAAAACACAAGTTGGCAGAACACGAGAGAAGTGTTAGGAGAAGCACCACTTGTAGCGGAGTGCTTCTCGACACTTCTCGAGTGTTCTGCCAATCCCCAAGTGCTTTATGACTGTACACAGCACAGTAAGCAAGTTTTTTATTTCTTTTATAAAATACAAATTTACAATAATAGATAGGAATGAAGCAAAGGAAAGTGCGCATGCGTGCAATGTGCTCTCATAAAGCATGCGCTCCAAACCAATCAGAACGCGACATTCATAACAGTTATTTTATAAAACACACTACRTTCTATATTTAACATAAAACACTCAACTCARATGTTGATTTTTACAAAGGGAGGAAACCAAAGAGAGAGCAACATGTTAAACAAACTCAACYCACATATGATCCAGTCTGACRAGCCGGRGCTCRAAACCGGACMACARTGGTGAGAGGCGAGTGGTAAACCACTACCCCACCCATCATTCAATATCTATAACAGTTTTTGAGTCTTGTTGGAGACAGTCTATTTTACTGTCTGATAATAACAATCTATGACATGTTTCTATGAGAGTATTTGGACCTGATTGCTTAAGTCATTATGAAATATAACAATGCTATCATCATATTCTGGAATTGCRTGCTATGTCATCAAAATGCTAAATTCAGAACTTTTTACATCTAGAAGCCCAATTCCAAAACKTTTTTGGGAATGATATTATAAGCTGGCTTTACCTTCGAATTACAAGGCTTTCAGGCTTACTGGGTTTATTTCATAACAGGAATATCCATGTTTTTGGATTAAAAATATACCTTTTTCGAAACACAATCCATTAAAAATAATATTTGATCTTACCAGAACCATTAAAAGCAATTGTTTTATGATATTACCAGAGAACAGTTAAGAATATTTTTATACTTCAATATGCAAATCATCTGCCATCTTGGTGTTGTTGAGCTAACCACCAGCATGACAAACACACACATTTTTACCAAAATTAATCAATTTTTATTTTCAAATCTCCTCAGCAAATTCAGATTGGTTTATTGGATTGAAACTTTGACAGTTTTTTAATTATTCTCATATGCTCTTTATGATTTTACATGGTTTTTCGGTAAAACCATTTTGAGAATGTTAAAATCACCAGTATTATGTTACTAGATGGATTAGATTTGGAGATGGTCTTGTATTATCTTAGTTTTCTATCATGTTTTATTGTTACAGTCCAAAGACATGTGTGCCCCATCGCCCCTCCCCCCAAGACTGCATTTTTACACGCAAAATTAGCAGAACATTGGAAACCAAAAAATGAAGTTAAAAATCCAATTTTATTAGAATAGACCCTTTTCGAGTTCCAAATTACCGGTGTGTTTCTTGATTACAGACTCATTTACACAGGCTTAGCTTCCATTTTGTGAAGAATATTCACATGTTCCAGTCAAGGTCCATCGAATTTCAAAGTGTTTGTATTGTTGGAGTTGTGCATTCTTTACTTTACCGTTGGTATTTGTGAGTAATTAGACACCGATACGAGGCTAACCCCGAGTAAATGAGTCTGTAATCAAGGAATACAGACATGATTTGGAACTCGAAAAGGGTCTATTCATTATTGGATTTTTTTTTTGGTTTCCAATGTTCTGATAATTTTGCGTGTAAAAATGAATTAAAATCCTAAACTTTATGGCACATTTGTGACAACACAAAATGATGATGAACAAGCCCAAAATATTTTGTTTTTCATTGACAGTTTATACTAGTTTTAGAAGTTGGAATTTTAACTTAATGCTATTCCTGTCCACTTTTATTTTTCAGATCCAAGATAACATTTAACAGACTTTGTAAAGATAAACTATATATGGCTAGGGTAATAAATAATAAGTAATACTAAGAATGGAACACGGCTTTTGCAATAACAGAGCATAATCTCCCAATCGGAGGAGGACAGACACATAGAATGACGAACCGCTCATGCACAGAGCCAGCACAAGCTTGAAACCGTGTCTCTTTTAATCTTTTTCCTCGTCTTTAGGGACTGTTCATTAATTATGCCTCGGGGGGCTGGAGGAAAAATTGAAGAAAACCTTGGAAAAATTCACAACCCCCCAATTCTATCTAAAAAATTTTTTTGACGCCCCCTCCTTGTGACCTTATAGACATACCTTAATTATTTATTTCAACCCCCCCCCCCCTCCTTTAAGTCAGCAAAATTTAATAATCATTACTATTACAAAATTTATTTAATACTATTAAAGCCCCCCCTTCTTTGCGTGATTTTTTTTCAAAGACCCCTACCTTTCTTCCAGCCCCCCCCCCCCCTTCCCCCAAGGCATAATTAATGAACAATCCCTTATATCTTTTTTTTATTGTATGAAAAAAATCGCTCATAGATTTCCATTGACTGTCCTCTTATTGAACATAGGTGACATCTTAAGGTCTTCCAATCTTTATAGTGAAAACACTAACTGCACTCATGGTTCCACTTGAGTTTTAAGACATCATCTATGATCAATAAGRGGACAGTCATTGGAAATCTATGAAAGATTTGTTAAATTGAAGACACGAGTGAAAAACGTCTGTGCATGCTCTAAGTATGCAAAAATTTAAGAAATGCCTCCATGTTATTGTAAATAACAAAATGCGAAAACTTAAAGTCAGTGCTTAAAACTTTTGGTTAATTCTTTGAAATATACTCGTTAATGTTTTTGTAAACTCGGAGAAAATGAACATTTGTTTTCTCACTAAAACTCTTCTAAATTCTTGGAAAATTTGCTGAAAGGCACGCATGCATGAGCAAACGTTTTTTGAGTGTCTGTATTAACCCTATGCAAAAAGACCTCACATAATATTATATGAATGAAAAGCTGTATTAAAAAATACAGTAAGATACAAAATTGAACAAAATGGTTTATGAATGGGGGATATACCTACCTGTAAAGATCTTACACGCAAAATAATACAGTGAGCGTGTGTAAGAGATGTATACAGAGAAATAGGTCAGCCCACATTCAAATAATAATTGTAATAAAATCAGTATACAACAGGGATCATATTAAAACAAATATTTTGCATTTTTATATCAAAAAGATTTTTTTTAATATGCACATTTAAAATTTTGATGCATCTCGAGACTTCTGTTATAGACTGCAAGCTGTTCCTGTATTTGTCTTGGTCACTGTTTGGCCGGTTTGCTTTTGTTAAGCTATTTGGTTAGCGAGAATTAGTAGCTAGTCTAATATCCCCTCACTCCAAACTCACTCCCCAGCCCACACCCTCCCAGGGTTCCCCCAGATATATTTACACTAGCTACTAATTCTCACTTGACTAAATTGACCACAGCAAACATTGACCAAAGAAATGCAGGGACAAGCATTTCAAAGCAAAGAAAGGCTTTCTTTATGAACTAAACATTCCCAAGTAACATTGTGTAACAGGTGCTGTAGGCAGGGGAAGGAAAGTGAAAGAATGGAAAGAAAATGGAAAGTGCATCTCTTTTTTGCTTGTCTTTACCATAGGCCTCTCCTCACTATTCCTTAATCCCAGAGTCACAGGAATAAACGTAATAGAGTTAATTTTGTACATAAACTGAATAGCGCTTATTTCAATTTTTGAATTATCCATTTAATTGCAATATGACTCCARAAATACCTATTGGTTAAGGTGATCGAGTGCATTCCATATATATCCGTGAAAAACGTAATAAATTGCACAAATTTGAACAAAATGGTAAGTTCAGTAGACAATGGACTTAAAAACTTTGAAGTAATTTGTACAATTTTGTTAGTTAACTTTTTCACCGATATATGGTATGCACTCTATTTAAGATATAAAATGAGTGCAAAGATCAAGTTGAGTTAAACTACRGCCTAAGATATTTGTATTTTAAAAATAAAATGACATTAAGATTAAATTACAATTTCCGGTACATTCATCTTGCCTTCCAGACTTGGTTCTTGTGTTATCGCTTGATGTACGAACCGTCTACTGGCCTTTCCATCTATTTTTACTTCCTATCAGTTCCTTGACCGTCGTACTCTGTAGTACAGAGCTGCATCCACTTTTATCGATGAGCGAGCGGCATYGACGAACCGAGTAGCGCAAAAAGACTGATTTAAAAGAACTTTTTTGTATTTCTTTGTATTTTTGAAATACGAATTATTCAGTTAGTGAGAAAAGTGGGACCAGGTCTGKACTAACTGCWGACCCCATTCTCCACTTGGAACATTTACAAAACGTCTTCTTTTTACGGCGCTTTTCTATGCACGTTCCCAATGAGTTGAGAACACTTGATGTGATACTCAGACCCAGAAACATAAAAATGATCCACATCCATATCAACGTCAAGCTCTTCGAAGACTGGCCAGGTACAATATCGCCATACCCAATGGTTGTCAAGGTAATGAACCAAGAGTATACCCCTTCGACAAACGTACCTTGTTGGTAACCGTGAACGAAAATCACACTGTAGAGAATGATGACAACAGTCAGTAAAAGGAACGATCCGATGAAGCTTTTCTCCTCGGCATTTTTTACGTTCACTTTTCCCTGTTTGACTTTTTTTCCCAACCCAATTATGGCCGCCACGAGGATCTGAAAGATGGCTTTACCTGTCGATTGGAGAAGTAATGCAGCTAAAGGGATACCAAACAGAGCATAGAATATACAGAAGATTCGACCACCATCGGTAATTGGAGTGATGTAGCCGTAACCTGACATTGAAAAAAAAAATCATTAAACTATTTGAGTTGGCGATTAGTCCTCGAGCCCGAAGGCCGAATGGGCTTTTGACTCATAGGCCATGAGGGCAAGAKGAATAATTGTTTTTTTGTCAAATCCAACAAGTCGGTAAAGTATATAGATGCAAACAAGTTTTAAATTAAAGTTAAATCTATCGTTTTGGTTTTCAAAACCGACACTCACTTGTGC